CTTACACTCTACATTGGGATTGAACTGTGTGCGACATTCGGAGATCAGACTTGGGTTGGACTTGGCTACCTCTATGTCCCTCCCCCTTCTCTCTCGCATATCTATGGATCTCTCCCCATGTGTGTGAGCGGAAGGGCAATCTTTCTGGTGTCTTGCCCTTCYGAAGTTTCTCCCTTTCATGTTGTTGTCCACGTGTCCTTTGATACTAGATCTTCCGCTGCGCTGCTTCCCAGCCTATGATGATGATGATACGAATGTGTTGTTATTGATTTCCCGTTGTTTCACTCTTTGCGTCGCGCACATTGACACCTTGTGAATGTTGCACCTATGCTGCTGGTTGTTGCCACTTTCGTCATTGCTAATTCCTAGGCTTTCAGTGCATTTCACTTTCTGATATGCTACAAGTGGTATCGGAGCTAGTGCGATGAATCTTGGCAACAACCAATCAATCGATTGATTGATTGGATTGGTGGTTTGCCACCAATCAATCTTCGATTGATTGATCAGTCAATCAGGAGATTGATTGAACAATCGATCAATCAACCAGCAATCATCTGAGACTGACTGATTGATTGATTGATTGATTGATTGATTGATTGATTGATTGATTGATTGATTGATTAATTAAGTTGATTGATTATTTGGCAATTGTTTATTTAATCTTGGAAATTTCCCGGAATTAATTATTTATTTATTTTTTCCGAGAAATTATTTCTTTTTCCAAGAATTTTTTTTTTTCCGAGAAATTATTTCTTTTTCCAAGAAAAAAAATTGGTTTCCGAGATTTTTTTTCAGTTCCGAGAATTCTTTTTTCGAGATTTTTTTTTTTTTTACCTTGTTTAATTGTTAAATGTCTGCATTTTGATAATTTCGCGATTCTTTTTCCGAAACTGTCCCTCTACACTTTCACTGCGTAGGTCTGCAAATTCCGTTCTTTTTTTTCAAAAAAAAAAAAACGGCATTTTTTTTCTGTTTGCAACCTACTCCTACTCTGAGTTATAAAGACCCTTCTTTCTGATTCTCTGCAGTCCGAGCACCGAAGGTTCACATTTGCTTTCTGCATCACCTTCGGTACTCAGTGGGATTGGACAGACTTTTTCCGAATTTTAAAGTTTTGTTTTTCTTCTTTTTGATTAGGAACTGTTCAAATTGGGCTCTGTCCGATCCTTCCCACTTACTTGTCTACTTCCTACCTATTCCTCCCCCTCCAGTCCGGGTACTGGGCCAGTCCATCAGATTGGCCCTCGGGTGACTCTTCCGACTGCGGGCACAGCAGTGCATGACACTGCTCACTCGATCACAGACCAAGGCCATGGACCGGAAGGCGGGAGAATCCCTCCTGGCCTATGAGGAACGCCTGGCGGCATTCATTCAGGAGGCCAACGATAGGGCCGCCGCCGCGGCTAAGGAACGTAATCGGCTCGAACAAGAGGAGGAGGCCAAGCGACAGAAGGAGGAACAGGATCGACTTCGTCAAGAAGAGGCAGACCTGCAGGCGGCAGCCGAACACCGGTCACGCCAGCGGGAACGGCTGTTCACGCGGGAGACCGTGATCGGCAATGAGGCCGCACATTGGGTGGAAGTGACATCTGCAGACGGGGCCCCGGAGACTGAGAAAGGGCTGTCAGCCCTTGCGCAGGTCTCCCACGACCTCGTGGCCACCTGCGCTCTGCAGCAGGAGGAAATCCTTCACCTGCAGCAGACAGTGGACCAGATGCTCGCACGGCTGTAGGCGTTGGAGAAACAGCCAGCTGCTGTAGCAGCCGCAAGGCCTTCCACCCTTACCACCCGTGTGCAAGTTTTGGAGGATGACGTCAGCAACATCAAGCGTGTGCATCAGGACTTTCGGACGTAGCAGCAAGCAACGAACGTGCAGTTGGAGATGCAGGTCCAGGCTGCTGCCACCGTGACGCCCGCCGCCGCATCCTCCCGGCGCCCACCCAAGCTGGATGACATTCCCGTCTTCTGCGATCAGTCCAAGACGGAACTGATCCCGTGGTGGCGCCAGTTTACTCTCAGGTTCGACATGCACCATGTCCCGAACAACGATCGACATCCGTGCTTGTACCACCGATCTGGTGGTGCGTGTCAAGCATGGCTGGACAACATCTTGACCAGCCACGGCGTAGCAGTGTCGGAACTGCACACCAAGCTCACTTGGCAGGAGTTGAC